GCATGAGGAAAACCTAGTACCAATAATGTTATAGCTCGTCGCCATGTCACCCAATACGCTTCTCGCTGTGCAAAGTCGTTCCAATACTATATGTTTAACGTGTCAGTGCCGGTGGGTATGTTGAATGAATTGACCAGCTAGCAGGAGCAAACCCATAATCTAGCCATGACAATAGCGCACAGAAATAGTCAATCGGGCGCAGAAAATGGAATTCCCTGCTACATAGAGCTTTGAACCCTCTGCATATATCATATATGTTTTAGCCCATGGCTCAGAGAGCTACACCTTGTCGACGTTTCATGACCGGCATAATTTGTGACTAAAATGCGGTAGTTGCTAAGACAGATGTTCAAGAAAAATCCTCTGCAGTTCATGTGTTGCAGGCACTGACCCATACCGGTTGCACAGCAGAGGGCCGTGATGAGGCCTGCTGTAGATTAGGACAGCTGCTCATAAAAGGAGCTTCCTCTCAATCCGAAGAGGCCCTCATGCCTTCGAGCATCCAGAACGCATCCACCATGACGAGGGTCTCCTGCTGCACCGCGGACTTCCAATCACCCCAAATTCCAGTAGAACAGGGCTGTAGCCTTCCGGTGGTGCTGACCGTGGTCTCCAATCGTATTTTAGTTTTTCATCATACAAAAATCTTACCTAGGTGGGACCTCCTTTCTTCCATGAAGGGGCCTCTCTGTGGAAATAAATGAGACCTCCTGCCAGTTGCAACAGAGACCTCCTGCTGTAGAACCGTTCGAAACTATCCAGCTTGTATGTGCGACTTAGCCATCCACTAAACTATTTTTTTTTCTAGATAAGGAAATGTTCTGAATGCTTATTGCTTTAGTGGTAATTATATTGCTAACCGAGTGGTACATTCCTCTGGTGCACAATTTAAGAGGAATGTTTAACTTTTGAAGGTAATGAAGCAAGCATGAGGTAAGATGAAATGAACGCACGTATAACAATTGGTGTACTTTTAAGCGGAAAAGACTGCCCTCAACAACACGATACCTCTGTTAAGCAAATATGCCCACCAATGAGCCATTGTTTGATTACGTCATAGTATCATGCACAACATTGATTGAGAGCGAATTGACTGTCGTTTTATCTGTAGAGCGTGGCCATAAACGCCAGATATAAACACCTCAGCACTTATTTTGTCGTGGCGTTGATCACCGCGTGGATAATGGAATGACAGAATCTACATGACGTTTTATGACGTCATAGATGCCTAGATGGCCTTGAAATAGTCTCCCCGGAAAAGTATACACATCTTCGCGGACGTGTAGCCCAGAAACTAGAGGGGTAAACTCTCTGAACTGCACCGTATTATCTTCAAGATGCGTTTTGCAGTCCAAAGCCCCATACAAATGTAGAACACTCCCTTTACACTACTTGAACCCTTCGTACCATTGATTGAACAACGTGCCAAGTTTTCTTTAGCATACATTCCATCGGGAAGACAGCTTTCCACGAGTGGAGAAGCGTTTTGGGTCATTGAGGGGACATCCCCATCCAAAGCGAGCGTGCTAGGATATGACCTGGGCCCGAGCTGGCCAGCGGGATAGCATTGTACACATCAAGTTTTCTACCGAACTTCAGGATGAACACGGTGTTGTCCCGTTTTTAGACGTTCTCTTGACACGCTCTCCAGTCAATACACGTATGAGAGAACTTCACGTGAAAGAAACGCACTTTGGCATAACTTAGTTCATCCGCGCATTAAAGACGCACAAAAATAACGTTCTAAAAATGAGCTCCGGTAAGCTGATCATCTTTCGACACCACGGGCCACCAATTGAATTACAGACCGTGTCGTATATACATTCCAAACCAACGGACGTCCTCCGGAACTAATTCGCTGTTAGTTAAACAAGTTATCGACCGGCGTCCCAGTCTCAACCATCCACCAAGAAGAAGACAACAAAATATGGTGTGTCTCACATTACCCTGCCTCGAAGATGAGTTATGCCACAAGGTCAGAAAATCCCTGAAAATAGTGGCATAGCATGCAGGTCGGCCTGGACCACTCCAGCGTCACTTATCTTGAAGTAGTCTCCAACAACTGACGCCCACCAGGTCCGCGCAGGGCCTTCCCCGCCAGAAAGGGCGGGTGCGTCCCGTGTGCCTCTGGATTTGGTAGTACTTGCTCCACCAACATCGTCATCTCAAATGTGCTTCCTGAGTCAGGAAGCACATTTGCCATGATATATGACGCTTTTGCATTGCGATTTGCTCGCCTCATTACTATCATCGAGAGCCCCAATCTTTACAAATCATCGAAATGCTTGCAAGGGTAATATGGACCAGTCTTACAGTGTCTCGGTATAACAAACTCACCTTAAGTGTCTCCATAAACGCTCCACGCCCCAGCTTCTTTTAAAGCTTTGAATTATGCTTAATGGCTCACCATCCCGAAATCGGATCTCTGAGTGCCGATAGAATGTCGGAACAGACAATTCGTTGAGCCCCCGTGGTGAGATAGGTAGCACACTGGGCCGGCGTTGCACAGATCCGGACTGGAGTCCCGATCCGTAATGATAAATTTTCTGCACTATCTGGCGAAGAACAAGGCTGAGCCTGTGAACCTGCCAGAAAGTTCTGAATCACCAAACTCAAAAGGTTTGTGAAAAAGTAAAAGGTAGGTGATAACAGGCTTAACAAATGTTTCATACTCTTTGCCCCCTTTTTTACAATCACAATATGAACTCTTTCCGGTAATTTGAACATTACTTTGATCCTTTGACCTCGTGACTGAACAAGTAAATTAGACATGGTTCTCTCTGGCAATAACATAGACAACGTTGACTCGCTCAGGGATGGTTGACGCTCTCCAAGAATTCACTCTGTCCACTTACCCCACTCTCTTGATTCCAGTAATCACCTTCTTTCCTTTCGTGTCGCACTCTTCTCTTGGATAGCTCCTTTGAGTAAACCGCTTACTTCTGTGCGGACCTTTTATTGCATTGTTTTTGTTATACAAAATCGAATAATAAGATAAACCAACCGTCATGCCGTCTTTCAACTGTTAATTGGGGAGGAAAGGCCTCCCCAATCGTGGAAACGACGTAGAAACGCTTGACTAATTTTTGGAGGCTAGTGGTCTGTTTCGCGAATGGTATGGATGTGTCGAGTCAATACATTTGTGCACCAGGGGAATAAAACATAAAAATACCAAGCAACCAGAACATTTACCTCCATTCAGCCATCTTATACGCTAGAAGCAAACAAAATCCTCCACCTCTAACTCCACTTTTTCCGGTCGTCGGGCTTGCCCCCATTGTACAATATGTCCTGCACGAGCCCCCTGCAGCACGGTCGCTCCACACCCGATCCACACCCGCTCCCTTCGCAGACGGGACCTCCTCTCGTTCATTACATTACCCCGCTGCCTGGTTGGTCACAGTCCGACCTCCTGACCGCAGATTTACCGCCGATGACGTACGTTAGACGCGTCATCGCTTCAATAGGTGTCCTAAAATTTTGGCACTGGTGAACATTTATGATTGATTATGCTCTCTGACGATAGGGTGGGCGTCAGCTCACTCTGTACGCCGGCTTGCAAATACTCGGGTAAAGCTTAAGTATTTTGAGAAATCTGTCAGTCTTGCTGCAAGCATGGACAAATTTAGTTGCAGTGCCAAAAGGCTATATTTGTTGCTGGCATTTTAGCTGGCTCGACTGCACCTATAGAGTTAATCTGGAGCTTTGCTATTAGGTCACTGCAGCTCGGCTTTGTGGACGGGAAGGTCACTTGGAAAATGAGCCTAGACGGCAGGTAGCGGCTGCTATTTTCGTATCACTCTGTGGCGTAATGACTTGGGTAAAATTCACTTGAAACCTGCTATCAAATTAAGTTAAGTAGCACACCCATTTCAAACGGGTATGAAGCGGTGTAACTTTTTTCGATTCACGGAGCAGAAGGGCACCATGAACTCAGATGTATTTACAGCCATGATGTG